ATGATCTTGATTTTTCATTTTTTTCAAAATATCTCTTATTCTCTATTTTGATGGCCCTTTGCTTTATAGCATTTTCTTATATTTAAATGATGTTTTTACATTTCTGTGCCTGACAGTATTTTAAAATTATTTACATGCAATGTCTGTATTTTCAACATGTCTGTTTTTTCTGAGATTTAAAAAAATATATTTTGCCCAGTAAAATTTATTTTGTAATAGCAAATGGGATTCATAAGAATATCAGATCAAATGTATTTCTTTACCTTGGGAAAGTGCAGTATCACTGTGTCATCTGTATCAATTATGGTTTTCACATTAATTGTTAGTCACTCTAATTTGGAAAATAATGTAATTAGGTCTCAATGTTAAAAATAACTTCAAAAGACTTGTTTCATATGCTGAAATGTATACATGTATAGTTAGTTTTATTAATTTTGTTCATTTTGGATGACTAACAAAGATACCTGGGACATCTATTTGTTTTAAAAGAGATTTTGTGGTCATGGAAATGCTTGCCCTAATAAAAGCCTACACATCCATTCTGGATTTTTTAATTTGCATTTTATATTTATATTATCTTCTTTGGAGTTTTCACCGTGTTGCTGTAGGGTATCGACACAGTACTATTTACCAATATAATTGCAAATGTTAAGTTCCATGAAACCAACATGATGGTAATCCCAGAGGAGAGTTTCATTAGTATCACTACAGACACGCTAGGGATTTCCTTGAAACACCTGAAATTTCCATTTTAGTTGAGTGCCTCTCAGTCTTCTAAAACTAAGTGTGATACTTCTAAGTTCCCTTGATTGTCTATATTTACAGCTGTATTATTTTACATTTCTAAGATATATTGGAAATAAAATAATAGATTATGAATTGGCTAAGGGAAATTTGAACAACATTCAGTGTGTACAGTTCCTGATGGAAGAAATGTCTAAAGGATTAAAAAACCAAAACAAGTCCTGGCCAGTTTTTCAGTGGTTAGAGCATTGGCCTGCAGCCTGAAGGGTCTGGGGTTCGAGTCCGGTCAAGGACATGTACCTCAGTTGCAGGCTGTATCCAGGCTCAGTCTTAGGCCCCAGCAGAGGGGCGCATGTGGGAGGCAACTGATCGATATCTCTCTCTCACACATGGATTTTTCTCTCTGCCTCTCCCCCTGCATTCCACTCTCTAAAAAAAAATCAATGGAAAAAATATCCTCAGGTGAGGAGTAACAACAACAACAAATCAGAAAGGTGAGATGTTGCTTAGGTGCAGCTTATCTATATACTAGAGGCCCAGTGTACAAAACTCATGCACTCGGGGCGGGGGGAGGTCAACAACAAATCAGAAAGGTGAGATGTTGCTTAGGTGCGGCTTATCTATATACTAGAGGCCCAGTATACAAAATTCATGCACTTGGCGGGGGCAGGGGATCCTCAGCCCGGCCTGCGCCCTTTCACAGTCCGGGAGCCCTTGGGGGATGTCCAACTGATAGCTTAGGCCCACACCCCTTGGGGAGCGGGCCTAAGCTGGCAGTTGGACATCCTTAGCACTGCTGCGAAGGCAGGAGAGGCTCCTGCCACTGCCACTGTGCTCGCCAGCCGTCAGCCCAGCTTCTGGCTAAGTGGCGCTTCCCCCTGTGGGAGCACACTGACCACCAGGGGGCAGCTCCTGTGTTGAGAGTCTGCCCCCTGGTGGTCAGTGCGCGTCATAGTGACCGGTCGTTCTGCCATTCGGTCAATTTGCATATTAGTCTTTTATTATCTAATCTAATAGACAAACAGGGTAATTGACTGTACCTTTGCTACACCTCCCATTGGCTAATCAGCGAGATATGCAAATTAACTGCCAACAAAGATGGCGGTTAATTTGCATACATAGGCACGAAGCGGAGCAGCGAAGGCGCTGAAGGCGGCTCCAGCCGGAGCGAAGGCCTGGGTGCTGGGTTCCGGAGGAAAACTGGTGCAGTCCCAAGACTTAAATACCACACATGTGCTGATGATTCATACATTTTTATCTTTTTCCTTATCATTGCTTCTGAGCCCCAATCTGAAATACCAGCTGCCTTTTTAACACAACCACCTGCCTCATTCAGGTCACAAACTAAGTCACTTTGATAGTTCTCTTTCCCTCATCCCCTACTTGCAGCCTGTCAGCTCCTGAATATTCCTCTTCTTCCCTGTGTCTGTTGCTTCCACCCTCCATCATCCTCTTACTTAGCCTTCCTACTGTCCTTTCTCCCCATACAGCCAGCATTTTTTCTGAAAACAGATTAGGTCCAACCACCAACTTGTTTAAAACTCTCCAGTGGCTCCTCATTGCATTGACAATAAAATCCTGCAAGGCTCTAAGCTCTGAGCCCACACACACATACACACTGCAGAGATACTGCTATACACACACACACACACACACACACACACACTGCAGAGATGCTGCTGTTCTCTCTCCTGCTCCCCAACTTGCCAAGCTTTTTCCCACCTAGGGATTTGCACCAGGTGTTCTTTCTTCCGGGAATGTTCTTCCTGCCCACCTTCAAATGCTGGCGCCTCCTGCTCCTTTCAATCAGATCTGAGCATAAATGTCGCTCCTCACATGGGGGCTATCTCTGGTTCCTCTCCATCGTTATCCGATGACCATGTTTCATCATCTTGGTACTTACTGCTGTCTGAACTCATTCTATTTGTTTGTCCACACATCCACTGTGAATGTGAATATAGTTTCTGCACTGAAATTTAAGTTCATTAGAGCAGGAATTCTGCTTCTTTGACACTGGATCCCGAACTTAGCAAAGTATCTGGCACACAATAGAGGTCCATCAATATTTGTTGAATTATCATAGAATGATGCCATATTGACCAGGATAATTTTAAGTGATACCCTGCTTCACCAAGAAGAACCCTCTGCCGGTTACTAGCCGTTTAACTTTGGATGAATTCCTTATCGTCTGAGCCACAACTTACTTGTATGTCAAATGGTGCTACTTACCTCATAGGGCAGGTATCAATTGGGGATTAAATGAGGTGCCTGACAATGCAATCAAGTCCAGTGATGGCGAACCTATGACACGCGTGTCAGAGGTGACACACAAACTCATTTCTCTAAGCTCTGAGCCCACACACACATACACACTGCAGAGATACTGCTATTCTCTCTCCTGCTCCCCAACTTGCCAAGCTTTTTCCCACCTAGGGATTTGCACCAGGTGTTCTTTCTTCCGGGAATGTTCTTCCTGCCCACCTTCAAATGCTAGCGCCTCCTGCTCCTTTCAATCAGATCTGAGCATAAATGTCACTCCTCACACGGGGGCTATCTCTGGTTCCTCTCCATCGTTATCTGATGACCATGTTTCATCATCTTGGTACTTACTGCTGTCTGAACTCATTCTATTTGTTTGTCCACACATCCACTGTGAATGTGAATATAGTTTCTGCACTGAAATTTAAGTTCATTAGAGCAGGAATTCTGCTTCTTTGACACTGGATCCCGAACTTAGCAAAGTATCTGGCACACAATAGAGGTCCATCAATATTTGTTGAATTATCATAGAATGATGCCATATTGACCAGGATAATTTTAAGTGATACTCAGCTTCACCAAGAAGAACCCTCTGCCAGTTACTAGCCATATAACTTTGGACAAATTCCTTACCGTCTGAGCCACAACTTACTCGTATGTCAAATGGTGCTACTTGCCTCATAGGGCAGGTATCAACTGGGGATTAAATGAGGTGCCTGACAACGCAATAAACCAGTGATGGCGAGCCTATGACACGCGTGTCAGAGGTGACATGCGAACTCATTTTTTTGGTTGATTTTTCTTTGTTAAATGGCATTTAAATATATAAAATAAATATCAAAAATATAAGTCTTTGTTTTACTATGGTTGCAAATATCAAAAAATTTCTATATGTGACACAGCACCAGAGTTAAGTTAGGGTTTTTCAAAATGCTGACACGCCGAGCTCAAAAGGTTCGCCATCACTGCAATAAACACTTGGAAAAAGGTAGCTAATTTTCTGTTATACATTTTCATATTTAATGTATTCATTAGTTTTCCAAAGGTTCCAGATTTTTTTTTTTTTATCTGTAAATGTTTACATTGGCTTTTCTCTGGATAACAGAGTGTTTTGGTCAAAACTCATGGGTTACATTTTCGTCTAAATTAACTCTTCATTTTTCAGTAGTTTGTTCCTCTCCCTCTATTGTCATTTTTCACAAATAAACAGTTTTCTATCAGTTGCATAGAAGTCACTGTAATGTGACCTTCGGGGGAGGGGGGAGACAAAGTGGGGACGCTGACGCTGAGCAGTCAACCAGAGTTCACATCCGTGCCTTCAGCAGAGGACTGTTCAGAAGGGTCACAGATAGAGCCACGACTCCACTGCACTACCAGGGGCTGTTGGACAGGCGTTCTTCCAGGACCAAAATAAGCAGCCATTGTTTCTGACACTTTAATTGCTCATGAACTGTAAAAACTAATCCACACGGCTCATCATAGCACCACACGGTCTCGGGTGTAGACGGCACCGCACCTTTTACAGGAGAAAGGGTCTCTGATATTAGTCTCAGGATCCCTTCTTGGCCCACATCCTTCTCCCTCCCCTGCACGCTCGCCCTTCCACCAGCCAAGCACCTCCCCGGGACACTTGCCACAGGGTCCCTGTGCTTTGGTTGAGTAAACAAAAGAGCACTGAAGGCTGCCTTTATAGCTTTCTCAACGCCACATGAAGAAATGAGGTTTTGTTAAATAGGCTTAGCTCCAGAGGGTTTGCAGAGATCACCGCTTCATCACCATGAAGCAGAATACATTTATCGAAAAACCTTTTAAACGTAATCTCAGTGACTTTCTTAACTGAATCGTGAAAGTGCAAAACGCCCTTTTTAAAATTCCCAAGTCGTCCCCTCAGTTCTCTTTTGTGATGAAGAGACCATCGAGCCTTTTCTAGAATTTCTACTTTGAATCCAAATTGCTTTAACAGTAGGTGGTGCTCCAAATGCACAGAAATAAGTGTGTATATATCAATAGAACCGTCACAGCTTTATTTCTTCGTGACTCATTACAACACAGAAATACGCTTTTAATACTTCATATAAAGTTATAGACAATACAAATGTTTTTCTTTTTTTCCCCCTTTTAATGAAAATGATTTAACTTAGAAATCTATTGTGAAACTTTTGTCTAGTTTTGCAATTCTCAGATATTCCAGTGCAAAAATAGATCCCATCACAGACAACATAAAGTGCTTGGAATGAAGGGCCAATGATAAAGAAAAAGCACAAAAAACATAGCTTCATCCTAGGGTTTCCGAAGGAAGAATAGAATACCTAATCCTATGTAAATAGAAACATTCTATAAAAGGGATGCAACAATTTTAAAGAGAATTAGAGCACTACTCTATATAGTACTATATTATTACTATTAAGTAGTAACAAGGGTACAAATTAATATCTCAATGTCAAAGTGGTTCAATATTATATGACACATGGCTCTTTGGGAAAAAAAAATTTCCTGATATATACAACCACACGAAGAAAACATAGACAAATCCCTTTAGTCAATAGTTACTATACAGTGAATGAATGATGTGCAATACTTAATAGCCACAATGCATTGCTTTCCGTACAGATAGTGAAATACAGTAGTTTGAGGTTTGGTTGTTTGTTTTTAACAATGAACTGAGCTGGGCATTTAGGTATAGAGGGCTCTGTTACTGTTTTCTTTTGTATTTTTCATATTCACAGTTGTTCATAAACTTTCCAAGATGTCCAAAAGAAGCAAAAGCAGAAATCTTTGAACACTTGAGAATTTTCTGAAACTCACATAGTTACAGTTCCACGGGGGATATATAGAGATTTTACTTGAGTAAGAGTTGGTAAAAATTTTTACTATATAATTAGGTTTACATAGGAAAATTTAAAAGGTATCTATTTGGATAACCTAAGAGGTAACAGTATTAACGAAATTGATGGTAATTGTAGATTGTTTCTAGCTTCAGAAGAGATCTTTTCAAATCTATATTGAAACATTGTTCTCTTTCAAAATGGTTCACAGTGCCTTTTGATGTTTTTTAAATACGGCCTTGAAGTCAGAGTAATTAAAGCAAAGAGTTGCTTATGGATTTGATATAGTAGAAAATTCAAACATGATTCTAATAAAACGGGAAAACAGAAGTTTGATTCTGAAAAATATTACACAAGGAGAAACTAAATTATTCTATGAGTTTTACATCATTATAGATAGCATAAAATACATTGGATGATCTCTAGTATTTGGAAATACGCCTTCATTACTTGTTTATCATTTTAGAAAACAATATTGGCAATAATTTCTGAAAATCACTTTCTTTTCCAATCAACAAGTTATGTGATAACATTCTGTAAATTTTAAAAGGGAAAACTATAAATTAAAAGTAGATCTGAAATCTTACACCCTTCGAGTTAACAAATTTTAGAAAAAAGTGACAGTGAAAGATCAATTGAATTTCACCAAACAGTGGTTCCCTCCTATTTTTGTTGTCTCAATACAGATGACATTAAGCATTGGTAAAATAATATTTTTTAAGTATTTACTGCCTAAAAAAATAAGACTGGGTTGGAAAAGTCTGAAATATACTTCATGTGGGGGCATTTGCTGCTTTTATTTTTTTCATGATAGGTTAGTGATTGAAGAGATGAAAAATTTGAGATTGTATGAATGAGGTGTCTCAGGTCTTCAAAGCCAATTCTTTGAAGAAGGTACTCAATGTCATAAGCACAAACTGTCTTGTTCAACAACTTTTAAAACTTGCCGTGTTCTCCAGAAAAATACTAATTGTTCAAGTCTTGTGACCCTCATGACATTTAAACACTCTTGGCTTTTGCATTGTTGCTATTTTCAGAAAGTGGGCTGCCCCATTGCCTTTCACTGGGCTCCCACGACCACAGCAGAACCACCTATGTGTATTTGTAAACCAGTTAGCTGAATAACATGGCACCGGGGATCTGAGACTTGGTTTCTCCCCACCCCATCTATCCATCCATCCATACTCATTCGGCTGTAACACAGGCTCCAAAAAAAAAAAAAGAAAGAAAGAAAGAAAGAAACGTGATTAATGAGCTGAGATTATTTTAAATGATAGTAAAGAAACTTAAATGTAATGTCATGAGATCTTGACCCTCATGCTGTTTTCCGGTCACGAGGCACCAGTCGGGCGGTCGCCACAGGCCATATTCTAAGGTTTCAAAAGTCACTGATAGGACTTAAAATTCCAAATAACATTAAAAGCACAAAGACTTTTGTCAAAATACAACTCCATCTTTTCATACTCTAGAAAAGCCAGAAATACTACTACATTTTTGTCGGACAAGATCTTGAGATGCAGTGTACCGTGCTGGCAGACAGTCGGGACGAGTGGACACAGGCCTGCCCAGGTCCAAACGCACCATCGGCACCATCTCCTCCCTCCCTCACCCTGGCCCCAGCAGCCCCGACGAATTGGGTGCTGGTTCTTACCAGGACCTAAGTACATTTAAGGAGTCCCAGCAAGATGACCCTGGAGACCCATGGCTCCAAGCGAGGGACAATGTAACAATGAAGCCAAGTCTCACTTGTCTGGAGCCACCCGCAATCTGCATGTCACCATTAACCACAGCAGCTCATCAACGAGGGAAGCAGAGCAGGACTTTCCCCCACACGTGGCACCACTTTTGTCACCTGATATTTGGTGATGTCGATAAGACTCCGAGTAGCACAACTTCCACAAAAGTGTGCATGACACGCCGTGGTGCTTTAGGCTTTCTGAGCACCACTTGGCACTAGCAATTCCGGTGCACTCACTGCCCTCCGTGGAGGTGGCACCGGGACACCAGTCTCCTGGCATGGCACGGTGTAATGAGCGAGGGTGTGCATGCATGCCTTCTGATGTGGGCAAATAATCACTGGCCATGATGACTTGACGGATTGTTGTTGCAACCCCAGTGAGAATACAAAGGAACCAAAAACAAAAATACAAAACAAACAAAACAAAAAAACCCAGTATGATTTCAAACCCATATGTCCTCTGGGTTCCATACTAGAGGTTCACATAGACATAAGGTAATACACTTAATTCAAGTCTTTTTCCCTCGAGAGCCATAGGAGACATCGGCTACAAAGGCACTGCCCCTGGCATGGAATTCTGTTTGGATTGCATTGAACTGCATTGCATTGAAGAGGATCAGTACAGTATCCAGTTTACTTCTTCCCACGGAAGCGTCCGGCTCGCTCCTCTGGGCTCCTCACCCGGTGCGAAGGAAGGGCAGTCCCTCCTCTCTTTCAGCCACCCTGCAGGAACAGGAGTCTTCACACATAACTTTCTTTCACTTTCTCATCCTTCAGGAAAGATGTGAGAACTGCAACGTTCACTACTGTCTGGTTTTTGTGTAACGACAGGTCCTTTAAGGGATCGTCGTCACTTTGGTCCTTGGCAAAGTTTACAAATACCTGTCAAGAGAAAGATGGACCCTTATCAATACCCCTCAACTTGCTCTCTCTTTATTTTAGTCGCGTTTTCCCCTCTGGGGACAGTAGGGCAGGTAGGAGAATACGAGACTGAATAAACACGTTAACTAGAACACAGCTTGAAAAAGCATTAACCCTTCAAAAATTAAAAACCCTCTACATTGACCCCCAACTCACCAACTGTTCAATCATCTATTTGCTTTGGCTTATACAGGCGTGATGGAAGGGAAGAGGGACAAATATGAACATTTACTGAATACCTACTAAGTGCCAAGATCTGTTTGCTGTTATTTAACTGGGATAAGGCACCCAGGCAAAATGTCTGGCCCATGGCAGGTACTCAATAAATGGTAGTTACTAAGATGATAATTACAAGCTATTCTCCTAACAACCCTATACAGTAGACAGCATCATCGACCTTTTCAGATTCAGAGAGGTTTGGTAGGAAACAGCTAGCAGTAGAAGCTGGGGAATTCAAACTCATCTAGTCTGTACTGCTCTAGGGCCCAGAATGGGGTGAGGAAGGGAGCAGGACTCCTCTCCCTAGAAAATAAATCTATTGTTGCTCTTCCACGCTTACTTGGTCAAGTGTTGTCTGTGAAACAGAGTAGTCTTCTATGTGGAGGCGCTTCTTGCTCTGGGAGAGGATGCTGAAGATCTTGGCCAGGGACGACAGCGAGGACGGGAGCTGGTACTGCAGCATGTTCCGGTGCTTCTCCTTCAGGACGCTGCCCGGGAAGGCCAGTCCGAAGAACTCCTGGACAGGCTTCAGGTCCGGGTTGGACCCTGCTATGCGGACAACTATCGTATACCCATCTCCAAACCTGAGAGCAGAAAAGCAAAGTCCAAAAGGAGGATCCTCAGGAGACTTATCAAAAGAATAATTAAAACAAGAGGTCCCTGACAGACCCAGAGTAAGAACCAGAGAGCAGGAACTAGTTGCCACTTACTAAGGACCTGCTCTAGGTGGGGTGCCATGCTGAGGGCCTTAGACACATGGCTTCACCTTATCCTCACCTGGACCTCGAAGCCTGACAGATGAGACACTGACGCCTGGGAGGTAGTCACCCCATCCCCCCCTACCTCCCCTACAGAGCTCACAGTGGTAGGACCGGGGTGTGGACTCATCTGTTTTTTACTCCAACTCTCTGCTCTTACCAGACTGGCATGTAGACATTTCTCCCTTCCATCTATGATAACAAAGCTGGAAGGGGAATATCCCTTAGGAAACTGACTCTCAGAGAGCTTAAGTAACTTGCCCAAAGCACACAACCAGTAAAGGTGAAGACAGGATGCAGCTCTGTTGGACTTCAAAGCCCTCATTCTTCCCACTACACCATTTTGCTCAATTTGTTTCCCTTTAGTTTAGAGCCACCATTTAAAACACTAACACACACAAAAAAGAAATACAAGCTTTCTCAGCAGGCGCTACCCCAAAGAACTGATCTTTGTTACCTATTTTTCAGATGTTGGACGCTACCGAGACACCTGAACTTGCCATTGACCATGATTGCCATCCTCGTGCAAAGAGCTTCACATTCTTCCATGCTGTGGGAAAACAGAACCAGGTTTCAGCTTAGAGTGATGTGCCTCTACCCATGCGACCATCACCACGACATCTGGCATTTCAAGAAATGTTCCCAGCCTCCTAAGGCATAACTGCATCTTGTTACAAATACACATGAAGACGTGGGTATAACCCTGTTCACTGAAGTGCTGTGTTCAATTGTGGAAACACTAGAAACAACCCAAATGTCTACAATAAACAGAACAATTAACTTGGACTACTCTCCAGCTATAAGAAATGACTTGGAATAATGTTCACGATATATTGTTGAATGAAAAAGAGCAGTATTACACTGAGCTTGCATTTTTGTTTATAAATCACCCACACAGGCACACACACTTTGTACATAGGTTGGCGTAAGGAAACAGCAAAGATATATTATTGCCCAATGATAGTAACAGTTATCTACAAGTGATGCAATTCCGATGATAATTGTTTTTGTCTTTGCCTTTCTGTATTTTCTAATTTTTACACAGTCATCATTTATATCAATTGGAATTTTGAAAATCACACAATGGAGAAGCCAGGCCAGGCCTTTGCTACGTACCTATGAGAGGTGAGCACTACCGATCTCCCCTCCTTGATGATGCTCAGGGCACAGTTCCACAGGAATCGCCGGGCCTTGGGGTCCATGCCTGTGGTCGGTTCGTCCTGTAATTAGAATAAAATAAATCCCATTATTTGCTGAAAAATAAACATCAAGGACAGATTTGGTTGTAGATGCAGAAGCATCTCTGAAATAGCCTAAATTTTAACTCAACCATTCCAGTTACTTATGGGTGGGCCAAAGAACCAGACCGTACATACAAGAACCAGGTCGTTTTTATAAATGTCTCCCTGAAGCAGGAAGCTCCACCTAAATTTAAGATTATTTTTTTAGAGAGAGAAGAAGGAAGAAAAGGAGAGAGAGAGACATGGATATGGGAGTGGAAACCTCAATCTGCTGCCTGCTGCACGTGTCTCACAGGGGATCCCACTGCAACCTGGGCACATGCCCTAACCAGGCATCATGCTGTGCAACCTTTTGGTGCACAGGACAATGCACAACCAACTGAGCCAGACCGGCCAGGGCTCCACTTAAATTGTTATGAAATTAAATTTCTCCAAATAAACAGAAATGGGAGGAAAGAGCCATTTAGTTTCCATCATCTTTTCATGACTGACAAATACATACTAAAAATTCTTTTTGTCTGAAATCTCTACTGAAGTCAGTGGAAGGTTTTGGTAAATGAAATTCCTTCTCCCCTCTTTTTCTTCTAGCTCACTCCAGCTTAGCCCGAATTATTGGACTCGCTAGTCATCGAGAAACAAATTTCAGGTCCAAATGCCTGGATAACATTAAAGCCTCAACCCAGGCCTCTTCCTGCAATAACTTCAATGCTCTTCTCCGTAGAAGATAAAGGGTCCAGGGCCACTGTCCCATCTAGTCTCCTGTTTCCCATGTGTCTGCATGTAGGGAATGAAGGCCCAGGTGCTAGTTGGGGGACTTGAAGCTGTGCCCACACTCTCCATTCTCAGGGGAGGAACACATAGTTGGTAAAAAAAAAAAGAGAGTCTTCCAGCGAAAAGTCAGATCACACAGACAGCCCCAGCCACACTTGTCAGGGCTCTCCGTGCCCCAGAAACAGGCCCTGGAGCATCTCTCTTGGGGAGCATCGGAGGGCCTGGCAGAGCCACCCTGGGGTGTATCAAGGAGAGGAGCATCGGGGCTCCCCTCTGCTTCCCTGAGGCTGCTCTGCTGTTCCTGGTCAGAGGAGGGGAGCTTGTCACTGGCAAGCCGGTCAGGCAACATCCCTGGACATACAGGGGTTTAGAAAAGGGATGTTTCCGTTCAGGCCAGAACAGTTTTCCACTGAGTCACACTCACCAGAAACACCACAGGAGGCCCGCCGATCAGAGCCATGGCTGTGGAGAGCTTGCGCTTGTTGCCGCCACTGTAGTTGCCGGCGTACTTTTCTCCGTACTTCACCAGGCCCAGCTTCCGAATCGCCCACTCACCGACCTGAGCAATAAAAAGCTCCTTGACATCTGTCTGGTTTGGTAACTTTACCATGTTTGCTTCCACTTCACCGAGTAAGACCAGATTCTATCATCATGATCTGGCAAGTGCCACAGAGCCTAAAACAGGGAGAAGGGCACTTCCTCCGTGCCCTCCAGCATGGGTCTGCCCACAGCTCCTCACCCCCTTCCCTACCCTCACCCCACCCACCTCGCCACCACAGACTCCCACCCTGAAAGCAGGGGCAAAGAGCCAGTACTGCGTCCAGGAAGAAAGACAGCATGAAGCCGAGGGTCATATGTGAGTCAAACCCACACGGTATATTGTCAGGATGCCAGCCGAGGCAGGCCAGCTTGCTGCTGCCCACAGTACCTTGCCAACTTCCTTCTCTGGGACTCCTCTCAAGAGGGCAAAGAACTCCACGTGCTCCCTCCCAGTCATCAGCTCCGTTATGGCATCGAACTGCGGGCAGTAGCCCATGTTTTGATGTACTTCGTGGATGTTTGATAAGATACTGCAAAGGAGAACAAAACTGGTCAGGTTTGGGGCTTTTGGAGATACGCTGGTCAGACGACCCTGCCTAATGTTCCTATAAAGTACGCTTGTGTGTGACAGAAATACCAGTGAGCACACCTGCTGTAGGAACAGCCTTTCTGCCCCCAGAATGCCGGCCCCTCCTGGCAGTCAGGGTTCCTGCCTCCATCCTGTCCAGTCCTTGTACCCGGCTCCCCCAACAATCTGTAGGCTCAGTCCTATTTTAGAATTCCTGAATCCATTCCAACCACGGTGCCAACTGTATGACCAATAACCTAGTCACACGCACTTCCATCCCAGACTTGACTCTGTGGTCCAGTCCTTTGTTCCAAGTGCCTTGTTCCTCCAAAGTCTCCTTCATTCAGATCCAGAGGAGTCCCAGCAACTCTGGGTGTGACCTCCTTCCACACTCTGCTGCCCATATATAACTCGGCTACAGCATGCCCCAACCCCTTGGTCCTGTTCCATATCCAACCAAGGCACCCTCCTGGTTTGTCAGGTGACAGGAAAAAATACACCTGCAGACACAATGTGACATACATTGGAGGGTTGGTGGTGAGGCTCTATCAAGCCAATCTTGGGTTAAGAATCCGTGACGTGGGAGAAACTGTGTCCACATCCAATCTGACAGTTGCACTTCAGCCCCCAGGCAGCCCTTGAGCGTACCCTTTCGGCAGCATTCATTCCTCTCTGCACATAATTAGGACTCCCAGATCCACCCTTTTTCAGAACGATGACTGAGGCGCCCATGGACACTCCCTGGCGCTCACAGCTACACTGCCCGAGCCAGCTCTTCCAACCAGTCCCTGTGATCGCCCTTAGTGTGGGCCACTCATCCCTGTCACTGTTATACGCCCCAGGAGCCCGGTGCTAGGAACATGCCCGGGGAGCAGGTGTGCAGCCTTACGGCTGCTATTCTAGAATTCTGTTCTCTTTAAACCTCCTTCACACCGCTACTGAAAAACCGCTTAGAGACAGAGGAGGGAGTGCATAAGTACATTAAGTTCTTTTTTCTTCTCAATTTTATTGGCCAGTAGCCCCCGTCCATTATTTTCAACTTGTGAGTCATCGCCCATTAGTCGCTTGAAAAATGAACTTATTGGGTCACAACCAGTATTTTTTAATGACATGGTAGAGAGAAGAGTAAGAATTATCAGAGTGTACTGTAAGTAGTAACAGTAGGTGTTATTTTATGAACCTTTATTATGTGCTTGTTTATGCCTTTGTATTTACTGGGTTTAGGTGTAAGATGTATTTGCTAGTATGGGTCATGATCAAAAAAGGTCAAAAGCCACTGCCCTGTACCATATACAAAGCCTAGAGGAGCCCCACGTATCTCGAGTCCTCCAGGTGACACAGTCTCCGGGCTTCTGACATGGAGCTGTACTCCCACTGATCAGACTGCCCAGTGACCGGCACCTTCTCAGGTGACAGCCTGACGGCGGCCCCAAAAACTAAGACAACTGTTAGCGAGGGCAAGTGCATACCCTTTTGCCTTGTAGGTAGGGATTTTCCCTGAGGAAACAACCATAGATGAGTACAAGGACATATAAGCAGAAACTAATAAATGTCCAACAATAAGAAATCCATTAAATAAAATTCTAATCTTAGAATATGTAACCCTTTGGGAAGTAGTTATAATATACTCATTAACAATGAAAACTAACTTTAAAACTCTAGATACAGTATGATTCAAGTTTATAATCCATTTATGTCTGTATATATAAAAGCCTAAGTGACTGTTACAACCAGTAGACCAAACGACTGGTCCTTATGATGTGCTGACCACCAGGGGGCAGACGTGCAACACAAGAGCTGCCCCCTGGTGGTCAGTGCACTCCCACAGCCAATCTCCTGCGGCAGGCCAACCTCCGGGGGTCCCTGCCCCCGGCCCCGGCCCCGATTGCCAGCCAGTCCAAGGGACCCCACCCATGCACGAATTCGTGCACCAGGCCTCTAGTATGTATATAAAATAGATTTGGGGTGATGGGAATGTTCTAAGCCTGGATTGTGGTGATAGTTGCAAAACTCTGTAAATTTACTAAGAATCATGAGTTGTGCTCTTAAAACAAGTAAGCGGTATGATATGTAAACTGCACCTGAATAAAGCTGTTAAAGAACAATGAGATGGAAAGGAGAGACAGAGGGGTTATATCTAGGGAGTGGGATTAGGCATGACTCTGAGTTTCTTCTTTACATTTGACTGTATTCCACCATTTTTATAAACTCTATCTATACAGTGCTGTTGTGACCATAAAAACACACACAGGACGTATTTAACTAAGTAATAAAAGTCTTTGTAGCAAAACGCAGACCGGTTCTTTCCTCACCTATTTTTGTTAAGGAAAGCGTCTCCTCTGGTAACAGTGCTGTCTCCAGTTAACATCTTGAAAGTTGACGTCTTCCCAGCCCCATTAACTCCCAGGAGCCCGAAGCACTGGAAAAGATTAGGTAAACTGCATAACGAATTACGGACACTTTGAATCCAAGTGACCATTACGAAATACGGCCCCCTCACTTAGCTTTCATATAACATGACCCCACTATTCTCAAATTTCAATGAAGAGTCTAATATTTTCTTTGTCTCAAGAAATCACATGGTCACTTAAACAGGTATTTTATAACGGAATCATTTTACTAGTAAGTGTGGGCGTATTCTGTAATATTATCTGAGTCCTTAAGTTGAGGCCAAAGTTACTGAGTGAAAAACAGTCATGAAAGCCCCCTAGTCAAATTTCACTAATCTGGCTAAAGGGCATAAAAGAACACAAACATGAATGAAACAAAGAAAATATAATTTCAAAAAATCTCTTTGAATTTCATCATCATCTTGAACAGATCACAAAATCACATGTTGGACATGCATGTTTTTCTTAAACTGCCTGAGATTATCCAAAATCATTCTCTTTTGACATATGGGGTCCTCATCCCCTCAATGACTGATTGCTTCACAGAGACACAAAGTGAGAAGAAGCCTTTAAAAGCCACTTTGACCCCTTACAAACATTGCCGTTTGATTGGGTAGAGGCCGTCTGAATTAACAGGGACAAATACAATGCAGAGAAAGTGCCTGTACCTCGCCAGGAGGAATGCCAACACAAATCCTGTCGACAGCAGGCTTCCTCTTCCTTCTATACACCTGCAAACAAAATGCAAAAGGTCACGAGCCACAGTGATTCACGGCGATCCCAGGCAGCTATGGAAGAGGGAACGGCACATCACTAGATAAAGTCATCGACAAGACTAAGTCACATATAAGATGTGCCAAGAGCCTTGGTCTTTGGTCTGTCTGGCTTCTGAATGACTCTAAAGCTCAAAATACAAGTGAATTTCTTTTTATTTTTAATCTAATATTTGTAATCAACCTTTTACAAAACATATTGGTCATTAGTGTCTACATAATACTTCATTTACTTAATATACAAAGAAATTACACATTTTTAAAAATTAAATTCTACAGGGTAAAAAAAAATCTGTAATAGCAACACTGCAAATATTGTACATAATAAAAAAAAAGTGGACTTTGGGGACTCTAGCACCTAGAGAGGGTGAAACAGACCCTCCTCCTGAGCAATGGAGACAGGACAGCTTTGTAGACCATGAAACTCAAATCAACCATTCAGTCCCCCTACTTAGCTTTGACTAGGTATACAACATTAGTATGTTTTAGTAATTAATACATGAATAAGTGTGAAAAATAAATATACTCAAGAATGAGAATGCACATTACAAAGGTATTCTCTAATGCAGAAGGCCCCATGGTGTGTTTTAAATAAAGTTAAGTTGACAGAAGCTGGGTATCGATGTGCATTTTGAGAACATGCTCCTTTTACTAAGCACGTCACCAAGAAGCTAGTTTCCCGCATTAAAGCTGAAACCATTACAGACAAGCTGTCACAGCCTGTATTCACTGCCTCACCTTGGTCAGCTCCTTGATTTCCAAGATGTCATTCTGGCCTCCCCCGTCGAGAATCCTCTGCCTTTCCCGCCTGACGTCTTCGTCCTCGTCATTCAGAGGGGGAAGCTTTGCATTCACAGGTCTTAGGGGGGAGAGTTGAGAAAAGTCAACCTTTCCAGATTTTTCAAGAGAAAGATCATTTCTAAAGCAGTCCTACAAGATCTACTCTCCAGTTCCCAGGACTGGCAGTGTTGGGGGCTGGGGATGTCCACTTTAGGAACACAGTTTGATCATCTGCTCTGAGTTCAATTCAATCTAAACGCCATTGACAAGTATTTCCCGGTGCTTCTTCTCTGTGACCCTCAAACGGGGGCTCCGAGAGTTCTGAGGAAAAGCTCACCTGGGCCGGATGAAGAATCTGTACTGGATCAGAACAGTGATGAGGAAGAACACCGCCCCCTCCACGGCCATGGCGAAGAGGTTTCGTCCCACCAAGTCCCACGAGAGTGGCGAGACGAAGCGGTTCTCCCCTGGTAGACACAACGCAGAGATCCAGTCAGAATGGAAGTACCAGAGACCACGGCCCTTCCTCAAATTCACCCCTCTTCCTGGGAACACCAATGGGTGTCCCCCATGACAAGGAGAAAATACATAAGGGAGTGACCACTGTCCAAGCCTGATTTAGGGGAAGTTTGGGGGAAACATACTGCGATTCAAAGTTTCAGAGCAAAACGTGTATTAGATCGGTAGCATCATCTAAGACATGTAATGTCTCTTTTTTAATGAGATGCCAAAATCCTTTGTAAGAAGGCAACAATACAGGGTAATTTTTACCGTCAGTATTTTAACAGATTATAAGTTCCCCAAAGAAAGATTAGAGAGTACTTTAGAAAGATGCCCCTCTCAGTAGCATGTAATGTAACCTAGTGACTCAATCAAATCACCTGGTTTTATACAAATATTGCTTTAAATTCCTTATACATCTCCTTTGTACCTCCAAATTGGAAAAAAAAAAAAGTCTGTCCTAAATAATATGACCCATCTAACTGACAGGAACCAGTGGATAAAGAATAGTAATGTAGCCACAGGACAAATACTTCTAAAGACCATAAGGTAGAAAGAGCTGCAGTAATTCCCTATACTATAGACTATGTGAAAGCTAATGTACGGCCACAGCCCCAGACCCATGCTTGTCCTAATGAGCCTGAGTTTGCATCTTTCCTTGGGATTCGCTGCCTGTGTACCCCATTCTCAAGGCTCTGGTTTGACTTCTGCAGTGACTTTGACAATCCCAACCAGTGGCATCAGGCACTGGATTCAAGCTAAAGGCAGTCTTCTCCCTACCTCCGGAATAGCCCTCTCACTTCTCAGGCACAAATGGTCCTGTCACAAGACCCATGCCACAACCAGCTGTGTTGTTTCCAGCCCTGTCAGGAGGGGGGAGTCCTGTGCCCAGTCACCAGCCTCGTTCCAAAACAAAGGCCAGAGTCGCAAGGCACGTGCACGTCGCCACCTCTAATAAAGGCCTCCGACTACTGCTGGCACTCACCGAACCTTTCCAGGGCATCAGCCATGGCCTGGTTTTTCACCATGTCAATGAGCCCCCGTCCCAGGCAGAAGTGCGGGAAGATCAAGAACACAGACTTCAGGATATCATTGATGTTATTCAGCTTCTAAAAAAAAAAATAAGACAGAGGGAGAGTGAATGTCATTGGTGGTTTAAGCTAAAAGCGTATCAAGGTCAGAGGTATGGGCGTGGAGAAGACATCTGGTTCCCTGAGGTCGAGCTGAGCCTTTGATTTCAGATCCCGGTAACTAGCAGCAGCCGTAGCTGATGATACGCAACTTAATAAAACCTTTGCTCTCTAGAAAATTTGGAATGATCCTATGAGTATGGAGAAATATGAGCAAAGTTGGGAAACATTGTTATGTTTAATCAGAAGCAAATCCACCAAAATATTTGCTTAGCATTTTAAAAGCAAACTGCTCACGTCTGGGTCAAGAGTTCAGTTCCCGGATTTTGTGGTCATTTAAACAATTCTTCTTGAACACATCGAGCCAGCACTAGCCAGCTATCAAACAACTGAGGACGTTGCTATGTGCTGGATGCACGTGCTAGGGCCCAGGGGAGGCCAAGGTCAGTAAGAAATAGTCCTTGTTCTGAGGAAGAGTGACAGGAAACAGGAAATTACTACACAGTTGGGTATGTGTTGTACGGAGCATGAACTGAGGGCTCTGGGAGCACCTCCCATCGGGCAGAAAAAGAAAGCTCCACGTCGGAGCTCAAGCAGGACGAGTCAGTCAGAGGGACAGAGGAAGGGATTTTAAGCCAGGCCCACAGGGTTGAAGGAGCAACTCAGCTGCGACTGCAGCCTCTTGGGGAAGAGGATGCACCTCTGGAAGGTCCTATGTGCCAAGTTCAGGTGTTTGGACCAAGGGGACGAGAGGAATGGACAGGGACCCTTGTTTACGGGATCTGTAACTGGAAGAACTGACACGGTAACCAGTCGAGTGTGGGAAATAAACAAAAGCAAAGCACATAAGATGACTCAAATGTCGCCAGCTCGGGGGACTGGGTGGATGGCAATGCCATCCAGTGTGACAGGAAAAGGCAGAGAAGCAGTAGCTTCTAGGGGGAAAGATAATCAGGACATGTTGAGCCTGGGGTATCTGTAAATTATGGAGATGGAGCTCTGCACCAGGCAAGTGAGAATGCAAGACTAGAGTTCCAGGGAACCTTCAGGGCTAAAGGCACAGAATTGAGAGAGAACAACACACAGCAAAGAGAGAGATGCTGGTAAGAGCCTCCGGAAGGAATGGCACCAGCCAGAGATGGCACCGGAAAGCAAAGACGGTGGTAAGAGCCTCCGGAAGGAATGGCACCAGCCAGAGACGGCACCGGAAGTGGAAAGCAAAGACGAAAGGTGAAAAAAGATTGGAAAAGCAACATGTAGGCAGAAAGGAGTATAAAAGAACTTGTCGAAGGAAAAGGAAAGGTGTGATGAGAGAAATATAAGGAAAAGGAAGCCGAGGAAGAAAGAACCGGATACAGGACAGGGTGGTGGGTGGTGTGACACCACAGACGCGTGGAGTGGGATCATGATTAAACACTGTCCCGGCTCCCGGAGATGCTCAGCCCAGCACAGCTGCTCTCCCTGCAGAACTCACGTTGTCGGTGAAGAGCTCCAGCACGAAGGTGGCCACGCTGCCGTTGATCCCGATGAAGAGGTTCACGCTGGTGAGGACCACGTAGGCGGTGCTGGGGATCTTGAACACGAAGGAGGCGGGGTACATGAGCGGTGTGATCGACCACCTGGGGGGGCACAAAGACAAATGTCCACTGGGTGTCCCCCGCCTTCCCTCTGACATTGGGCACCGTATACCTCACCCACTGCTGCCAGCCACCCAGGGGCACCTTACCCATACAGCAGGAGCAGGAGGGCTAGCACGGGCAGGTTGGTGGAGGACACGTAGGACTTCTGCTGGAAGCAGATGAAGATGATGATGACCAGTGTGGCAGGGACCACATAGTTGCACTGAAAGTGAAACAAGGAAATTGAGTTCGTCCCTACGTCAAAGATACAGTACATCCCAAGTGTTCACTATCGTCGGACAAGAAAGGGCAGTTAACATACTGGAGAATAACTCTGAATTAATAAAGTCGCCTAAACTACTAATCAATACACTGAACAATACATTTTGACAAGCATTTACCCTTGGCTGATTTTATAAACTGAATGCCCTTGCTGTCTTTCCAAGAGCTGAGCCAAGGTGTCACGCTCAGTAAACTTACTGAAGGATGGATCCCCAGTCAGAGTAATTTCAATTTCCCAGGCAGCAAATAAGCTTCCATTCTTCTTCCCAAAGATGACTGTGTCGGTTTCATCATTAATGCCATGTTACAGTCTGCCCAAGTTCAATCTCACATATAATCTATTTATGAGGTAAGTGCTTCTAATGTGAATGTCAGAACTGCTTCATCACACTGAGAATAATCTTAGAGTCTGTCCTGACAGAGTATCAAGAATTAAAATGCACAAGTAGGGAGCACTTGAGATATGGCTTCCCAGCGTAGGTCGTGTCAGTTTGACACAAATAAACTCTTATAAAAATTCTCTAGAAAAATAAAAATAATTTTTTAATGCACAAATAAAGACCTGACCAAGAGACAATTGTGAGAATTCTTGGCTGGCAGAACAGAGCACGGGGAGGGATATGAGAGCAGGCTTGTCAGCTGTAAGAATTTGCAGCTTCAGACCACAAGGCTCTGCTTCAGTCTCATTCTACTCAATGTGTTTACCAACAACTTAGATGAAGACATGATTAGAGCAAACTTCAGAGGCTCGAAAGCACGGGAGGGACAGATGACACACAGGAAGGGGAGTGACATTCCTGAGTTCAGGACTTGGTCTTTCATCTCTGAAGCTCCTGTGTGTGGTGGAGTCAGACACGCAGTGAGCACTCAGAATGCGTTTACTGAATAAAGTAACTACTGGATCAAGATAAAAGCAAATGGACACTAAACAAAATGCAGTTTAACAGGGATAAACATAAAGTTTGAGCTCAAAAAAGTCAACTGCATTGGTACAGAGGGAAAGAGGCCCATTTAATAACACCTGTCAACTAGAGATTTCAGTTCACTACCCAACGGCCACCAAGACAGTGCTACTTCCAACATGTGATGCCCTTGGGCTGTGTAATAAAGTCAGGGATACAGATCAACTCCCTCTAGGCTCATAACCACTCAGACCATAGCCTGCACACAAAGCTAGTTCTGGGTTTCACTTTTCAAAAGGGACATTAACAATACAGAGCATGGCCACACAAAGGCAGTCAAATCAAGAATGACAAGTTTGAGAGGCTTGCGCATCATCATCACTCACACGGGTACTGTGCTTTAGAGATTACAAAATGTGTCCTCATAGATCATCTTATCTGGGGAAGACTTAGGTTCAATGAAAGTTGTCTTCTTATCTGAGGGGCTATCCGGTGGGAGAAGCATTACATGTGCTCTGTATGGCTTACAATTAATGGAACTCAGAGGGAGATCTATTTCAACTCCACTTTCCGAGAACTGGAACTTCCTTGAAGTCCTCCATATTGGACTGAACAAAAGCAATGCATTGTAGCTGGTGTAAAAACCTATTTGCAAAGATGGATAAGCTTCAGGTAAAATGTGCAGAGTTTTCAAATGACAGACAGATTTCCTCGTAAGACAAAGAACACCCTGACTCTGGAGGTTCAACCCTCTCAGACAGGTTACAGGCATTGGAGTTTGGACTGGCTTCCCCGTCCATGTCTCTTTGACAAGTTTTGCATTAGGAATTAGGTGGTGGTGATATTAACTGCCGTCAGAGTGGACAGATTTCCTTTCCAGTGTGGGATGGGCGCTGTACTAAATGCTCCTTAAGTACATTGCACTTAATTACAATGCCTCTGTCATTTTCTCTCTCATTCATCTTTAGATGAGCGAGGACATCGTAACGAGAGCCAGGGGCTCTGTCATCCGCGTGTGGTCCCGCTGGAGATTTATGCACAGCGGCACGGCGGCGCCCTTACCATGTCCCAGACAAAATTGGAGAGCCAGTAGATGACGGGCTTCACCCCGCTGATGAACTGCAGGTGCTTCGCCTTGCTGACCCGCTCCTGGATCAGGAACACGACAAAGCTGGCTGGGACGAAGGACATGGCGAAGATAACACAGATGGACACGAGGACATCCACCGATGTGGTCATCCTGAAAAAGAGGCAGTGAGGACATGAGGGGCCACTGATGCAACTGAAGACTCCATCAGGAGGATACACGGACACACGGACACACGGACACGGACACACACACACACACACACACACACACACATCTGAGCATAGCCCGGGGGGAAAATAACCTGCTCACCAAATATTTTTTTTTCAGGGCTAACAATTATTATTTTCAAGTAAAAAAGAACAAAACAAAGCAACCCCCCCCACCACCTGACAATTCAAATGCAAAACTGATTCCACAGAAGTTACAAAGAGCCAGTGTCATAATGAACTATTAATGGGAGTCAGAGTGGCCTAATGACCTTGTAAGAGCAATGAGTTGTGAATTTTCACTCACAAAGGACAAGTGTAGAATGAAAATTAAATAAAGCAGAAATGTTAGTGTGAAACCATTCAAATAACTTCATTTCTGGCTGTAAATAAAATTGAAAACACCAGTGTGTGGCCTATCAGTCTAACACATCTATCAGATGCTTATAAGAGCAGCCTTATAAGCTCAATAAACAGGGTTTAATATAAATTATACATATAAATGTTATATAAGCTTGGTATAAAGATCCCAGTGACATATATTGATATTTTATACAAGTTAAGCAAAAATAATAACTGTGCCATGCCCCTTATACCGGAAAGGGACCCAACATGTGCTGAATATAAACCAAATGCTAAACTTGGCAACTTACATGAACTGTCTCGTTTAACACCATACATCTAGAAAGGTTAGAAACCAGATTCAAACCCAGATCTCCACAATTCCAAAGGCTATATACACTTTGCCTTGTGTGTACTGGCTTTAACCTCGCACACTTACACACAACTCAGGAATTAAAAACACAAGCTGATGAAAGCATGTTTCACCAAGTTTAAAACCAGCGAAAGACAGTTGAGGATAGGCTTCTGCTTTTTTTATTAAACACTGTATTTATGGCGAGTTACAACATTTGGGGGATGTTATTAACAACTTAACTTACATGAATCCACTAAATGTAATGGTTTTTACATAAATGAGTCATTTATTTATCTTTGGCACTTTAATCCCTGCCAGCCAATTCCTAACCTGATCATATTCTGTCCAGAGCCTGGACCAACCCAGACATATCCTAATATAAGTGATTCCCCAGCTGTTATACACAACCAGCGTCAGGGTTCCTTCCTCCGTTCCTCCATTACCCTCAACACCCTCTTCTGCCCCCACCTGGTCCATAGAGACATAGCTACTTACAGAGCCACTTCCGAGAGCTGCTGCTTGGTGAGATTCAGGGGGTGGTTGAAAGCAGTGATCCCGTACTGGCTGGGGTTCGCCCCCTTCTGCAGGTTGGCCCGCAGAATGGCATTGTTGATGACATTCAAGAAAGAGCTGATGGCATGCCACCCCTTGTTATTGAACCACACCTGAAATAAAACACAGAGGTACAAGGTAACACTCCCAAACCCTGTTCTTGGAGGTGGGTGCACACACACACACACACACACGCCTGTAAATTTCAGGGATCCCAGTCACGCACCAAGACAAAACATTATGGTCAGAGAATGTGGCGAAGCAGTAAGGGCAACCAGGTGTACCAAGCACTGACCGTGTGGCCAGGCAAGGTGCCGGCTACCCACTATGTTTAACTCATTTAATCTTCATCATGGCTTTGAGAGAGCCTGAGTACTGTCTCCATGGTAGAGGTTAGGAAACTGAGGCTTAGAGAGGACAAGTAATCTGGTCAGGGTCACAGTGGTTCGCCTACTGTGTCTGGGGGCAAAGCAAACTCTGAATCACTGCATTGCAGGTCCTCACTGGTGAGGCTACTAGACTGCTCTCTCTGTCGTGCCTACCCCATCGAGCTGAACACAGGGTTACTGTGCATCAAGAAGCTACTGAACAAAGAGCTTTACCTTGACGTTGTTTTTCGTGTCCAGTCCTGTCATGAACCTTCCCAAGCTGGTGAGAAATCGATTCGAAGAGCTGTCCTGTGGACGACAGAACCTGCCTCAGCTCAGACGGCTCGCAGGAGCAGCAGGACAACCTTAGGACGGGCACCGTGACTACCTTGTTCATTAAAATGAAAGCTGAAGCCACCAGAAATCTAAAGCACCGCTGTTGCCATGAGCCACGAGTCTCGAAGGAACCACCGGCAAGGCCTGTGATTCAAAGTCCCAAGACTCCCACTCTGTCTCTAACTCAGGGGTGGGGAGTCTTAAAAAATGTTGCCCTGGCATCATCCTAGGGCCCAGGGCTACCCTCGTGGGGTCTGGGCCTCAAAACAGAGATACAGTCTCGAGGACTATCCCTGCATCTGTGATCCCAGCGTCCCCCATCGTCTGACCCCCTCAATTCTTAATTAAAAATGGGAAACTCCAGGCACGGAGAAATGAAGTGAATGCTTAGTGAGTCCTAACACCCGCTGAACACTTAAAGAAAAGGATTCGTTTCCTGTTTCACAGTGACCGCTGTGGAAAAGTATGTTTGATGTGAAGTTCACTTACCTGCTGGCTAAATTCATAAATTTAAGTTACTGTGAGAGACCTGGATTTGTCTTTGGTCTATGCTTTCAGATCCTAACTGGTCACTGAGTCCCAGCTCAGTGTTGGCTGGCACAAGACACTAACTACTCAAGACGACTTTGTACTCAAGTCTTACACAAGGAGGTGCTCAGTGATCGGATGCCCCTGCCAACTGCTCCCCTGTACCAGCAGCTCTGGGCCCCTTTCTGACATGTCCTGGGAGGGACACCGTACCTTGGCCAGATTCAAGTGTTTCTTTATTTGCCTGATGGCATCGTTAACTTCTTGACTTGGAGGAAGCCCGTGAGAATTGCTGACACCCAGGGAAAAGCCGCCGTACCTGGAAGAACAGCCTGAGGTTAAAACACAGGCAGCGCAGGGCACGGGACCCTGGACACCACATGTTTCCCGCAGGCGAACTGCTTCTTCAAAGTCCAGAGGAAGTTACCACTGGACTCCTCTAGTGGATTTCCTTAACCTTAGGGTTCCTGCCCAAGTAGGAAGGGTCTGGGCCTGACTATAGACAGAAGCAGCTCCTCCCACCCTGGTGCTCAGGCCTGAACTTGGGTCTCAAGACAAGCAGATGGGCCCGGCCGGTGTGGCTCAGTGTTGAGTGTCGACCTATGAATCAGGAGGTCACTGTTCAATTCCTGGCCAGGGCACATGCCTGGGTTGTGGGCTCAATCCCCAGTAGGGGGCCTGCAGAAGGCAGCGAATCAATGATTCTCATCATTAATGTTTCTATCTCTCTCTCCCTCTCCCTTCCTCTCTGAAATAAATATATATTAAAATATTTTTAAATAAAATAATAATTAAAAAGTCGAGCAGATGGGAAGTCAGGACAAGGAGTGAGGACACTGACCGAGAGGCCAGAGGTTTACTATAATGAGCCCAAAGGCCTGGGCTCGTTCCTAGCATGAGGACAACTGGAGGGGCCCCAGTTTGCTCTGTTCACAGTTCTGTGGGGCCTGGCCCTCAGGAAAAAGGCCAGGAGGAGAAGTGGAAAGCAGTGTCAAAGAGCCACCTTGTGGGGCAGCCACATACAGTAGCCCATTTTTCATAAGATGTTAATGAGCTTCAACAACTCTTCCTTCTGTTCTTCCCTGATCCCACCTGTTCCTTCAAATCCCAGAGGGATAGATGGGTTGAAATACAGTGAGAATATATGGTGTTGATTCGTCTTATTTCATCCAAGAGAACCCTGGGAATCTGGTTTGGGGGCAAAGTGTAGCTGGCGTAGGTTTTCCCCTCACAACATTGTGCTTCCTGTTAAATCGCACCAGAAAAAGCCTCTGCGCCTCCTTGAGGAGATCAGTGTGCCCAGCGTTCACATGCACCTGCAGTGGCAGCTGGTGCAGAGCAGCAACACTGAGGGCAACGCAATCCCCAAACTAACAACTTCCGGGGGCCCACGATTCCTGCATCAGAACCACCCTCCTGACCGACAGGAGGTCCGGGGAAAGCACAGGAAGAGGTCAACTCACCTAAACTCATTCACCCAGATCTTGTTCTTTAAGCTGCAGAGACCAGAGACAAACCAAAAGTCAGTTCAGAGCAACACGGATCCTATTCCTGATGACACAAAAGGAGTCAATCTCTACCTGAGGACACAACGAAGGGACGGAAGTAACCCTAAGATCAAGCTGATGGTGTAGGTTTTTGCCGATGGGAAGAAGCCCTAATCGGCGTGTCATTTTCCTCCCATTCTTAAAATCTTATGTATATGAAAACCATGCCTTGGATTAAACCAATTCAGAAACCAACTTATAGACAAAGATGTAATCAAACTAGAAACGTTTAAAATTCAAAGTCATACAGCAATTAGGGATGACATAGGGAGAGGTTGTGCCTCTTTGTTGGAATCTCACAGTAGCTGTCATTCAAGCACACCCTTGTCATTTAGAGCCACTGAGAACCCCGAGAGGCCCAGCTGACCAAAGCAGTGGGAAGGAGCAGTGGGTAAATCCGGGGTGGGGAACATCCAGCCTGCGGGCCATGTAAGGCCCACAGAATCACTTGGTCTGGCCCTATCAAGGCCCTGACCACCAAGTAGTGAGTCAATTAAAAATGTTTAACCAAATATAACAGGCTCATTTTTAAGTTGATAATTTTGTATGGCTCGTGACTGAATGATGTTATAAACATCCAAATGGCCCTTGGCAGAAAGAAGGTCGCCCCTGAGCTAAGTAGTCAGTGTTAGGCTGCGAGGCCCCAGGAAGCTCCATGGCTCTTCCCCACTCCACGGCCCAGGCTGCCATGCATCCCAACCATGAGCGGTGTTTATATATATCATTCAGTCCTCACAACAACTCATAAGAGCAGCATTGCTTTCACATTGGACACCAACTGAAGATTTAAAAGGATAACCAGTTACCGTTCGTCAAAGAGCTAGGAGGTGGCAGAATTAGAATTTGAATCCCGATTTATTTTCATTCTGGAACCAGGCAAACTCAATCTATGCTTGGTGAGTTGTCCACCCGAATGTTCATAATGATTCTCATCTTGTCTACTTTGAAAGAGCACTCTAAGCTTCCAAGACAACATCGGGTAAAAATATGATGTCTCCCCCACTACTCGGCCTACTATCTTTAGGTCTTAAATTCCTCTGATCAGTAATGACAGAGCAAGGACTGAGTTTAGCAAAGAATGACCTTTTGGCTATGATCTGCACGTATGTCTTCACCAGGTAATCCGAGATGTTTCTCCCCGTCAGGTTCTGAAGGATGTCCTCCGTGTTCTGCTTTCTCTGTTGTTACACAAAAACCAAGCACATGTGCTTTTATGGACCAGAACTGAGACAAGAAGCAAATCAAGGACTACATTGACACATGTCCCTCAGAAACACACCACTAGACCCTGCCCACAATGCCCAGGTACCCCGAGCCAGCCACCAAAGCCGGATTCATTCTACCCCTGACTCTGGCCATATACTTAAGGCACTCCAAAAAGTTCCCCAGGAAATTATTCTGGAAACCACAGACTGTGCAATCTATTCTTCATAGTCACAAAGGTCTTTAGGGAGCAGCATCACTGACTATGCTTGGTGAGCTCTTTGTTCAGTGGTGTCACACAGATGAATAGATTAGCTATTATTTTAGAAAGACGTAACCGGAACCCGCAACCTGGATGCCGATAAAGCAGCAGACAGTTTTCACAAGCAGCCTCATCCCGAAACTGTTCTCAGAAAAAAAATGGATCACAACTTCGTCCCATGCTCAGACTCGTAGAGAATGTCAGACTCAACAAGACCCTCAGACAGTGATGGGCCAGCCTCCCTAAGGCCGAGCCGGGGAGAAAGCGGGCCTGTCCTGTGACACTCCCACTCAGAGAGAGCACCGTGCATCTCCCGTAGCCCATTGGTCCAGAGGGCCAGACTCGTAGAGAATGTCAGACTCAACAAGACCCTCAAACAGTGATGGGCCAGCCTCCCTAAGACCGAGCCGGGGAGAAAGCAGGGCCTGTCCTGTGACACCCCCACTCAGAGAGGGCACCGTGCATCTCCCGTAGCCCATTGGTCCAGAGGGTTGTGTTCTGGTTTTAACGCAAACAAGTCTCTTCCAAATAAAGGAACAGGCTAAGCTCGCTCAGATATAGGAATAAGGTGGTACAAGCTTCCTCCCCTCAAAACTCACATGCTTTTCCCTGTGACAAGAACGAAGATCAAGACTGAAAGAGACCCTCCTGCTATGTCACCCCGTCCTTCTTCCCCAGCCCACCCTGCGCCCTGCCTGCTCAGTCACACCTGGAGAGGGACTCACCTGTGGAGGAGGCAGCCCCCCGGCCCCCAGGGGACACACGGGCAGCATCTTCTTGATTTTCTCGCTGCTGCACTGGCAGGTGGGTGAGGGGTTCTCCATCGTCCAGTTCCCGTTCTGGAAGAGGTCCGTGATGGTCTGGGGAACGGGGGCCGTGGTCCACTCCTCCTCTCCCACCAAGCAGGGCACGTCTCTGCACAGGGAGGACAGCAAGGCCAGGTCACCCAGAGGGCCTGGGTTTCCTGTCGCCTCAGGGGCACGGGATCCATCAATCACACCTGCAGACCTGCACCGACCCCTCCCCATCTGATTATCCGATCCCTCCAAAGACGTGCAAACTGTGAGCTCACTTCACCGATATGGACAATGGAATGCAAAGAGGGCCCAAATGCTCATATACGGACTCCAGTCGATCCAATCCACCAGCATTCAGGCACTCACCCACGTGTTCACTCCAAAACACTCAATGAGCATCAACTCTGTGCCAGACACTCTTCTGCATATTTGAGAGTCTGGAGTGAACAAGACAAAGTCCCTGCCTTCATGGAGTTTGTGTTCCCATTGAAGAGTTAGATGATGATTAAATGCCATCTTAAATGGGAAAACATGCAGCAAGATAAGGGAGCATGACTGGTAGGAAAGGAGTTGCATGAAGAAGTGATACACTTTGGCCAGAACATAAAGGCTGGGCCAGGGAGAGATTTGGAGGGAAAGAATGTGACAACCAGAAGCAGCAGGAAGCGCAGGTGCAAAGGTCCTGAGGTTCCTGTGGAAGGAACAGCAGGAGGACGGTGTGGCTGGAACATGATGACCTATGAGGCAGAGAAGGAGGCAGGAGCCGGATGACACAGGCCTGGGAAGGGGTCTCAGTTTATGCTCAATGTGCTGATAATCTGTAGACAATGTCAAGATTCACTTTATGTTTCAAAACAAGTAGAGA